GAGGGAGAGGGAGAGGGGGAGGGAGAGGGAGAGGGAGAGGGGGAGGGGGAGGAAGAGGGAGAGGGGGAGGGAGAGGGAGAGGGAGAGGGAGAGGGAGAGATGGAACCTGCAACCCAGGTATATGCCCTTGACCAGGTATCAAGCTCGAGACCCTTTGGTGCGTGGGCTCACGCTCTAATTACTGAGCAACGCTGTTCAGGGCTACACAATATATTTTTCATGGGCATTTCCTCCACATTTCTCCAAGCCAAAAGAAAAATCCCAGACAAGTAATTTTGATATATGAACATATCAGAGAGAAAGCAGGTGAAAAGAATCAATGGGGATAGATAGTGTCTTGTGAAATGTAGCAGGAAGGCTTCATTGCCAAGGTGAAACTTACCAAAGAAGGGTGTGGGGGGAAAACAGATTGGAAAACTTTTTTTTCCACCCCAGAAAGGGGGTGGGGAGGGACACACCATGAGTTACAAGTTCTCTATTCTCCTAAACTCTGCAAATTATAGATCAAAATATATTTTTCCAGGTGTGCCTTTTTTCTACAAAAAGGAAAAGAACTATAAACCATATATTCTGCTTCATACAAATCATAAAAATGAAGAAAGTACACATAGAAAAAAAAGTAACATGGAAAAATTACTTGTACAAGGAAATGCTAATTATTAATGCAATAAAAGTTATTAAATTAGAAAAAAGGAGGCAAAGAGTATTTTTAAATGTTCTGAAAAGATATTCTATATATATCCTCTTCTCAAATCTATATTCATTCATGCTTTTTATGACATAATGTGACTTCATTAGAAGCCCAACTAAGTTTCCAGTTTGAAAGACTATCAAAAGGCTTCAGAAATGCACTCTAGCAGTTTTATAACATGCAAATTATCAACTCAAGAATATTACTTCAGAAATTCATTCATATGATCATTTACACTACATCTTGAAATAAGACCAAAAATAGTTTGCCCAAAAAATCAGTTTGCTGTTATTTTGTCAACAAAGAAATAAATGGAATTGTAAAAAACATCAATGAAATAATCAGTATGTATCTATTAGGACCCCACTGCCCACCTGTAAGATTATAGTTGCTACAGCTCCAGTTAGATACAATGAAAGACAGTCACAAGCTGTTGCTGTCCACTTGTCACTCCCACCAGTTGGTCTAAAACAAAAAATAATGACAACTTGTTTTTATCATAGCATAGGACATAGAAAAATAAAATGACTACATACACATATGTTTGAATCCACTACATATGTAATGAGAAATCAATTTAGACATGGCTTTGTGTTATTTTCACAATGTTCTTCTCCATTTCATAGTTTTTTGTTCAACCCTCTATTCTAATGATGAGATAGACCCTTGTGGGTAAGATAGAGGTTGGAAAAACCTGTAACTTTAAATGGTTCATTAAGGTTTTAAAAATAAATGAAAGGGTCTTAGGATCTTTAGCTTTATTTGTGAACAGATTTGTAATATTCCTATTTGTGCCCATATCTGAAAAATGTACACACATATATATGTGCATGTGTTATGTATATGTATATACCTTTCAGCCAAATAACAGCAATCGGCTAGATGGATTTGCTTCAAGTTAGGGAGAAAATTAGACAGCCCCAAACTATGAGCTTCTCTGCATGATGGGTAACTGCAGGTAGTACACCAAAGCACCGGGGAAATTATCCTCCCACAGGCTTTACTTAAAGATGGAGCCGCTTCCCATATATGAAATTACATTGTACACTCCATGGTGAATAGTAACTAAGACTTACCTAGCAATAGCTAATGACTCCTTTTAACCTCTGGAGGGAAGGCTAATTAGTTTTTGGCAACATTGTTACTTCAGTTACTAGGTATTTGGATTTTTGTCAACAGAAGCTAGAAATCCAAATATTTATATGGTACCTACTGGTTGTAAGAAAGCTCTGATAAATAGTTCAAAAATTTAAAAACTTTCTGTAGGCCAAATACATGGTGCATGTTACTTGGATTTGGCCCACAAGCTGTAAACTACAACCTGACATAGAGCTATGCTTTCAAAGTTACAGATAATGAATTAGAAAGGATAGCCTAGATGTTAAATAATACTTGAATTTCAAAACCAATTAAATAAAATCTGACAGTAATAATGTAAAACTATATTTTGGTAAAAGAAATGAATGATTTAAGTGTATAAAAAGTTATAGTTTCCTAATAAGTTCCAGCAAAGAAGAGCAAGAGTCACTCCTATGGAAGCCCTTCTAAGTGGAAAGCCCATGTAAGGACATCAAAACCTGTCCTGCCCTCCAGGTCTTTGGCTGTAAAATTTGATTTATTTCGGCTGGCAGTATCTCCTTGGGGGTAGATGGGACATGATAATTGATAGAGTCAACAAATGGATAGAGAGTGATGTACTTGGAAGATTCTGTACTATCATTGTTTAGTAAAGCTTAAAGTCAAATGGAGTTAAATCTCAGACCACTGGGTTTCTGACTAATATTCACAAGAGCTATGCAAGTTCAATGAAAACTGCTTAAGAAATTCAACCAAACTCACCTCCACAGAATACAAATTTAAACACACGATGCTAACCAAATCAACAGTTTTAGTGAGAACTGCTCAGAATATACCTGAAGTAATTCTTTCAACTTAAACCAGAAAACATTTAGAAAAGCAGGAAAAATCTAGAAATCATGTTATTTTAGGATTGACAAAACTGTAGTAGCCTGCATGAAAAAAAATAGTCTTAGTGGAACTAAGAGGTTTGAAGAGTCAAGAGGTTTGTTCTGAGGCAAAATAGAAGACATGAGGAGACCAACTTCAATGCAGTGTAAGGAGATACTAGCAAATGGAGCTGCCTAAGAGACAAGTTCCCTTGAGGATGTACTCCACAGCACTGGAAATTTTCAAGGTCTTGAATGTCCATTTACTATGACAGGTATAAAAGAAATTACTGTCATGGTGCCTCTAAGGTCTTTGGATCCAAGTCTAAGATTCTATAATTCCTGTTACAAAGACACTATGGCTTTATTGCCTTGGATTTATCAATGAAGGAAGGTCTCCAAGAATCAGAAATTTGCAGCCTCTTTATTTTTCAAAAAGAAGTCTGAGGATAATATATAGCCATGCTAAGTGCTCCTGTGACTGCTTTCTAGCCTGGGAAAACCATAAAATAAAGGTCAACACTGAGATTTAGGAAGAGCCATATTGAGTATTATCAAACATTACCTCTTAAATTATCTATTCAGAACAGATTGTATTTTTCTATATTCATTTAAGCTGAATCTTATTTACTAATTTTTCTTAAAAGTTGAAGATTATCTGAATATTTTCTTTAAAATCTGGTGAATTCACCTTTTAAAAATTATAGTAATTTTCACACATATTCAAAAGAGAGAATATAAAAAATCTGATGTATCTATCACTCAGCTTCAACAATTATATTTACATGACCAATTTTATTTCATTTATACTCACATACCCCCATCCCTGATTATTTTTAACCAAGTCCCAGATATAACATTTTATTTGAAAAGATTTTAGTTTGTATTTCCAAAAGATAGTCTTTTAAAACAAACATAATCACAGTATTATCACATCTAAAATATTTAATAATTCCTTAATATCAACCATTCAGATGGTGGTCATTTTTTCCTGATGTTTCAAAAGTCTGAATTGGTAAAGTAAACAAAGTCCATATGTCATGAATGGTTGATATGTATCCTGAGTGTCCCTCCCATCTCTTTCCTTTGCAACTTTCTGTTGAAGAAACTGTCATTTGTCCTGCAGTTTCCATGGTCTGAATTTAGCTGATTGCCACAGTGTTTAACATGTTCCTTGTATTTCCTTTAAATTCCTAGTGAGGTCTAGAGTCTTGATCAGATTCAGGCTTGTATTTTTTTTCCCCCAGCAACACTATTCATAGGTGGTACTGTGTATTTCTATCAGGAGGTACACAATGTCTGATTCTCTTTTTGTGATGTTAGCAGAACTAATAACTGTCATCTAGATTCCCTTCTTTGTTTATTTGGGTTATAAAATGATGCCATTCTAACGATATCACTCTTCCTTTGTTAACTGGAATACTTATAAAAAACCAATTTTATAAGCTGAAATATAGATGATGCAGGAAAAGCAAGACAAAAGCTCTTTTCCCTTATTCATCAGTTTTCAGAATAATGAGGTGGTTCCCTAAAATCCTCTAAAAGTAACCAACGAAGTTTTTCTTTTTTAAAATCACTTTATAAACTTAGAGATTTAAACATATCAAATGCTTTAACACATTACAATTACCCTACTGATGCTCGAACTGTCCCATCTTTGGTCAGTGGAAGTTTATTCAGGTTGGCTGAGTTCTTTTGTCATAATTCCAGTAATTCTTTATAGCTTTCTTGATTTTTGCTATGACAAGATATTCTAGGCTCATATTGTACACTTCCTGCCCCAGACCTACAATTTAACAGTTTCCCAAAGAGCACGAATTTCCATTTGTGTGAAATGGGATTCAGAGGACACAATTTGTATACCAGCATAGCTCATTATGACTGGGGCCTTCATGTTACCAGGCTAAAAAATATGTGCTTTTTCTGTTTTTTTTAAGATAAAAACACCTCAAGAGTTTCTAGTGATACCTCTATTCAAAATCAGGAGTACAAGGTAAATTAACCTTAATCTCACACCTTTATCACCTGTATACCATACCAGTTAACAACATGTACATAATTACTATTTTGACTTACCCCACAACACACACACACACACACACACACACAGTAGGTTCCGTAACACTACAAACCACTTTGAGATTAATGAAAACAACTGATGATGGGGAGTTACTTTTTTGTCCTTAGGATATATTCTGGTATGTACAGTCAATTTACTGTGCTTTAAGTCTTTTTTTGTTTTTTTTTTTAAATCTTTATTGTTGGAAGTATTACAGATGTCCCCTTCACCCCCCATTGATTCCCCCCAGGCCTTCATCACACTACTGTCTGTGTGCATAGGTCATGCATATATGCATCTAAGTTCTTTGATTAATCTCCCCCCACCACTCTCCACCCCTGCCTTCCCTCTGAAATTCATGCAACTCCTCAATGGTTCTATATCTATCTTGTTCTTCAGTTTATTTTGTTCATTAGATTCCACATAAGAAGTTCCTCTCTGAAAGGCTATGTCACCACTATGTACAGATAGTGAATTTCATTTTCCTTACCATTTTACTGACTTCTTTATATAAAATATTAACATAGTTCCAATATTAAATCAGTATTGTTAGTAACCTCTTCTCACTTTCCCCCATCATCTTATTTGAAGTACTTACTCCTAGTTAATACCTATAAGACAACCTGCAAGTTTATTCAAATTTTCATAGGTACTCTCTCCACTCATTTTTGAAATTGTGTCATATCTACTTTGCATGCTATACTGTTTCCCTAATAATGATCATTTAATCATAGCTGCAAGGTAAAATAAATGTAATGTTCACCACCAGTCCTTATTTCAAAATCTCTCAGGTCTTGTTACCTAAAGCCTGTTCTCCTACCGATTCCCTAGAAACAACACTGAGCGGTCATATAAGTTTGTCTGTGGTCTTTATCTTCTGAAGGTCAGTTTGGTTGGATATAAAACTCATAATTTGTCATTTTGAGTATTTTATTGTTTACAGTAGTACCTTGGTTTTCGAATGTAATCCATTCCAGAAGACCGTTTGAGTTCTGAAACGTTTGAAAACCGAGGGATCCAGAGCCGACAGCTAGGCCTCAGGATCTTGCCCTCAGTGGAAGCCGTGTGGCATGTTCGACTTCCCAAGTGTGTTGAAAAACTGAAGCATTTACTTCCGGGTTTCTGGCGTTCATAAACCAAAATGTTTGTCAATGGAGGCGTTCAAATACCGAGGTACTATTGTATTTATTTATTTTTAAATCCTCACCTGAGGCTATTTTTTCCATTGCTTTTCAGAGAGAGTAGAAGGGGGGCAGGGGAGAGATAGAAACACTGATGTGAGAAAGACACATCAATTAGTTGCCTCCTGCTCAAATGCTGACCCAGGCTGGGGATTGAGCCTGCAACCAAGGTAAGTGCCCTTGGCTGGAATCCAACCTGGGACTCATCAGTCCCCAGGCTGATGCTCTAACCACTGAGCCAAACCGGGTAGGACTCTTTTGAATATTTTTAAAATGTTGCTGCATTATCTTCTGGCATAAAGTGTTGGTGATAACTGTGACTTTATTCCTCTTAAAAGGCAATAATTTTATTAGATTATCTCTGTGTTGACATTCCTAATTTCCCAAGATATGCAGTGTGCCCTTTTAATACATAGTTTTGTTTTTTATTTTAGAAACACTTTCTTGAATTAGGTTTTTAGCATTATTTCTATTTCTTTTAGTTTTCTTCTTTGAAATTCCTATTGCACATGTTTGGTCTTTTTTGTGTGTGTCTATTTTAGATATCTTTTGTTTTCTTTTGAATCTCTGTATTTTTGTTTAAATTTCAAAAATCTGTCCTTCCCTTGTATTTCTCTTAAGGCATTGTTTATTGTGTATTTGTTTTTGTGTTTTTTTTCTAGTTTAGTCTACATTCCTGGTAGGATTTTATTTCTAAATTCTTTCCTGTAATAAATCTTATTTCTGAGTTTTTCTAATTGTTTTATGTTGTTCTTCATAGTGTCTATCATTTTCAAAAAAATATAGTTCATTTTAAAATATCAATTATAGTTTATTGTGTTGTGAGCATGTCTTTTTGGTGGATCCCCACTGACTCTAGGGATAGTGTTTGGTTATTTATTTATTTATTTTTGGTTAATCCTCACCCGGGGATATTTTTTCCACTAATTTTTAGAGAGTGGAAAGGAGAGAGGGAGAGGGAGAG